TTGATTTTGGTTAAGGTAGATTATCATTTACAGTGTAATCAGTGAGGGGATTCTGCAGACTGTTGAGGGTTCGGCCTCCTGATGAGTCGGTGAAAATCCGACGAAACAGTTTGTCACAGCCCCTCGTTTGTTGTCCTCTTCTCTCTCTCTGCCTACAGTTTACCGGGCAGTTCTATTTGTGACGATATATACATATATATATTGTGACATGAATATCAGAGCGCAAAAGCGAAAAAAAAACAAAAGGAAACAAAAAAGATATCAATTCATTTTTTTAATCTTCTTCCTTACAAGACTCCCCCTGTTCAGAAAGAACCTCTTTTGCGTACAAGGCCGCCCACGTGGATGTAGGTTGAGCGGCGGCTTCCCCCATCACCCCCGTGTGTCATATCGACCCACTTGCACACAGCCAAAGGGCAAAGAGGCAAAGAAAAGAGGAAGGGAACAGCCAAATACAACCAAAAAAACAGGGGGCAACAAGCAACAACACCAAAAACAGATCCTAGATGACAAGTCCCACATGCAAGCACCGCCCCTCCCTCCTTCACAGGCCGTTTCCCTCCCTCCTTCACAGGCCAAACGACGGCACAAGACCACCCAGGACAACACTCTTGTCTGCAAAAAAAATAAAATAAAAAATAAAAATAAAAAAAATCCCAGATTACTACATATCTATATACAGCAGATGGCCTTGTTCGTCATCAAGAAATTCGTCTTGTTCGTCATCAAGAAGTTGGTATCCCCATTTGTTAACCGTTCGGACTGGGACAAAAAAAAACATAAAAGACAATCCCAGATGACGATTCCCACATAAAAGCACCGCCCAGCTCCTTCACTAGGCCGAACAACGAGAAACAACCAACTAGGATACCAAAAAGATAGAAATCCGCTCCCGCGTGAAACAACCTAGCTGCATCCCGGTTGGTTTTGTCCCGTAGTGGGACGACTGCTCCCACGTGAAAGCACCGCTACGCCCGCCGAGATAGACCGAATAACAACGGGACAAAACCAACCGGGATGCAGCAGACAAGGCTACCAAAACAAATTCTACGATATCCGTAGTTTTTAAAAACCGGATCCATACAGTAGGTCCGCAAAACGAAATGAAACAGTATGTCACAGCCCCTCGTTTGTTGTCCTCTTCTCCCTCCCTCTCTCTCTGCCTACGGTTTTACTGGGCATATATACTTATCGTCAAACAGAGCTGCCCGGTAAACCGTAGTAGGCAGAGAGGGAGGGAGAAGGAGAAGAGGACAACAAACGAGGGAGGGGCTGTGACAAACTGTTTCGTCGGAGTTTCACCGACTGACTCATCAGGAGGCTGAACCCTCACACACACACACACACACAGACACACACACACACACACACACACAGAGAGAGAGAGAGAGAGAGAGAGAGAGAGAGGGTGGACGCCGTGGTCGACAGTGACGAGGACGTGAAGCGTTCGATAATGACGACCGCGTCTAGAGCGAGATGGAGGAGGAGGCGGAGGGGGGGGGGAAAGAAGAAGAAGAAGAAGAAGAAGGCAAGGGGGCAGAGGAGGAGAAAGGTGATGAGGCGTAGAAGCGGGAGGGGGGGTCTGAGCACGAAGGTGACGAGGGAGTTAGAAGATGGAGTGGGGGGGCGCAAGGGAGGACGAGGAGCGAAGGAGGGAGGAGGAGGAAGGGAGAAAGGAGGAGGGAGGGAGGGAGGGAGGGAGGAGGGGCGAGGGAGGGGCGTAGAGCGAGCGTCTTTTTTTTTTTTTTGGTTTTTGTCTTAAAAATTAAAATCAATCAATTAATCAATCAATCAATCAGACAATCGGTCGATCGACCAATAAACATCGAGTATGGTCGATCTTTATTGGTCGATCGACCGATTGTCTGATAGTCGATCTTTATTGGTCGATCGACCGATTGTCTGATTGATTGATTGATTGGTTGATCGATTGATTGATTGATTGATTGGTTAGTTGAGGAGGAAAGAGGATCACGAGGCGGAGGAGGAGCACAAGTGTTGGGGACGATTTGGCGCCGCTATGGTATGGACTGAGAGGGTCGGGCGAGGGGAAGGGAGGACCCGGGGCGGAGCCGAGATTGGTCAGGAACAAGCCGGGCAGAGGGGAGGACGCGCGGGAGGGAAGGGGGGGGGGGGGGGGGGGGGAGGCGGATGTGCGGAGGGCGGGGGGGGGAAGGAGAAGGAAGAGGAGGCGGGCGGACGACGAAGATGAGGAAAAAAAGGTCGAGGTGGAGGAGGCACAGGAGTGCTTAAAACGGTCTTTTTTAATCAATCGGTCAATCAACCAATCAATCAATCAACCAATCATTTAATCAACCAATCAATCAATCAATCAATCAACCGCTAGTTGATTGATTGACTGATTGAGTTGTGGAGTTGGAGATAACATGAAGAGGAGTGTCGGGGAGGGTCGGGCGAGGGCAGGTGGGTCGGGGCAGGAGGGTCGGGGCAGGGGCGAGAGTGGTCGAGGTGGAGGCTACATGACGTGAGCGCGGAGAAAGAGGGAAGAGCGGAGAGAGGGAAGGAAGGAAGGCTTTTCTTTGTTATTCAAGGACGCGCTAGAGTGGAGAGCGGAGAACGAGGGACGGTTTTTCTTTATCACTAATCGATCAATCAATCAATCAACCAATCAACCCATCAATCAATCAACCAATCAATTTAAAGATCATTGCATTGATCGCTTGCGGCCTACGGTCGATTCATTGATTGATCTGATCGTTTGATTGCTTAAAGAAATAAGAAACACCCTGCTCGCATCTCCTCCTCCCTCCCTTGCTTGTCGTCCCTCCCGGTCTCGCTCCTCCTCCGTCCCTCGCTCCTCCCCACTCCATCCTTCTGAGGATCAAAATCAATCAATCAATCAATCAATCAATCAATCTAATGATCAATAACGATCAACCAACCAACCGATCAGTCGATCAATCAATCAATCAATCAATCAATCAATCAATCAATCAATCGATCAATCAAGCAATCAATCAATCTAACGATAAAAAACGATCAAACATGGTTGATCGTTAGATTGATTGATTGATTGATTGATTGCAAGAAAAAAAGCCACCCTGCTCGTATATCTTTTCTCCCTCGCTTGCTCATCGTCCGCCCGGTTCTCACTCGTCCCTCCCTCGCTCCTCCGTCTCCGTCGCGCCTCCCCACGCCATCCTTCTCAGTCCCTCCTCTCCTTGCTCATCAACCGCCCTCCCCCCTACGCTTCCTTATCTTTCCTCCTCCCCCCCACTCGCTTTTTTTCTTCTTCTTCTTCTTCTTCTTCATTTCCTTCTTTGTCCTGCCCTCCCCCCTGCCCGGCTCCTCCCCAACCAATGTCGGCCTCGCCCCCGCTCCTCCTTCCTCGTGCGGTCTCCACGCCGACCAATCTCGCCCGGGTCCCGACCCTCTCTCTCTCTCCCTCGCCCGGGTCCCGACCCTCTCTCTCTCTCCCTCGCCCTACTCTCCACGACGCTCCGTCCCCCCCCTCGCCCGACCCACCCCGACACTCCTCCGGCTCCTAAAGTAATCACTAAATCCAATACTCTCCAATCAATCAATCAACCGTTCAATCAAGATCAGCCTACGTTGATCTTTACTGATCGCTATATTGGATCGATTAATTGATTCCAATCAATCAATCAATCAACGGAGATCAACCGCGGTTGATCTTTATTGATCATGAGATTGATTGATTAATTGATTGATTGATTAATTGATTGATTGAATCATTCAATCAATCAATCAATCTAATGATCAATAAAGATCAATTGATCTTTATTGGTCGATTCGTTGATTGATTGCGCTGTTGAGTGATTGCTTTATTGGTTGAGTTTTGGAGTTCGTATTTGAAGTGGAGTGTTGGGGAGGGTAGGGCGAGGGGTTGAGGAAGGTTGGGGCGGGGGGGAAGGGGGGGGGGGGGGGGGGGAGGGGAGAGCGAGGGAGAGAGATGGTCGTGGCCGGGGCAAGATTGGTCACGGACAAGACTGCATCGGGGGAGGCGCGCAATGATAGAGGAGGCACAGAGACAGGAGGAGGGAGGAGGGAGGACGATGAGGGAGGGAGGGAGGAAGGACGTGGAGAAGGAGGCGGGCGGTTGTTTTGATATGGATGAAGAAGATGAAGAAGTAGAAGGCGAGGCGGTGGAGGAGAATGGGGCGGGTTGGAGGCGGCCGCCGCCGACGACGACAACGACAACGACGACGACGACGACGACGACGACGAAGAAGAAGAAGAAGAAGAAGAAGAAGAAGAAGAAGAAGAAGAGGGTGGTGGTAAAGGTGAGGAGGAGTCGGAGAGGGATGATCACGAGAAAGGCATGTGGGCGGGAGGCAGGAGGAGGTTGGGAAGAAGGCGAGCTGAGGGGAGCCGGGTGGAGGGGAGGAGGATGGAAGGAGGAGGAGAGATGGAGGGGGACGAGAAGGAAGCGGGTTGGAGTAAGAAGAAGAAGAAGAAGAAGAAGAAGAAGAAGAAGAAGAAGAAGAAGAAGAAGAAGAAGAAGAGGCGGCGGAGGAGGAGAAAGCCGAAGGCGAGTGGGAAAGGCGTTCAGGAGGGAGGCAGGAGAGATGGGAAGACGAAGATTCTGAAGAAGAAGAAGAAGAGGTGGAGGAGGAAGAGGAGGAGGAGGAGGAGGAGGAGGAGGAGGAGGAGGAGGAGGCAGAGGAGGCGATGGCGGAGGAGAAAGCCGAAGGCGAGTGGCTGGGAAAGGTGTTTAGGAGGGAGGCAGGAGGGATGGGAAGAAGAAGAAGAAGAAAAAGAGGAAGAAGAAGAAGAAGAAGAAGAAGAAGAAGAAGAAGAAGAAGAAATGGTGGAGGAAGAGGAGGAGGAGGCAGAGGCGGCGATAGCGGAGGAGAAAGCCGAAGGCGAGTGGCTGGGAAAGGTGTTTAGGAGGGAGGCAGGAGGGATGGGAAGAAGAAGAAGAAGAAGAAGAAGAAGAAAAAGAAGAAGAAGAAGAGTAGGAGGACGAGGAGGCGGCAGAGGAGGATAAAGCCGAAGGCGAGTGACTGAGAAAGGCGTTCAGGAGGGAGGCAGGAGGGATGGGCGACGAGGGAGGAGGTTGCTGTCGCTTGCGACGTCAAAAATCTTCTCTTTTTTTGTGAAGCTCTGGAGTTCATTGAATTTTGTTGTCTTTTCTTTACCCGTTAAGATAAGTGCTCCAATCAATCAATTGATTCAATGAATCAATCAATCAATGAATCAATCAATCAATCACTAATCAATCAATTGGGCAATTCCATCAACCCATCAATCCAATTCATCAATCCATTAATCAATCATCAATAGCACAATCAATCAATCAAGTATACAGAGCCACGCACACACCAAACACACACACGCACACACTAACACACACCAACACACATGCCTCATTTTGCATCATCTTGTTGTTTGCTATAGCGGTAAACCTATTCCAGTTTTCAATCCACTGTGTGGGTGGAAATTAGGTTGTTGTGGTGTGTGCGTAAGCCCCCTCTCCCCCCCCCCGCCGCTTCCCACCTGTTTCCGACGTTGGGGGGCAATCAATCAATCAATCACACACACACACATACACACATGGAAAGACAGGAAAGGTGATTTGGGTGAAAACCTCTTCCATCTCCATACCTTGGGTAGCTCTCAGAAAGCGTAATTAGCCGCCCCTCCTCCTCCCCCCTCCCCCCCTCCCCCCTCCCACAACACACACACGTTTTTTTCTTTTCTTTCATTTCTTTTGGGCTGTTTTCCAGGTTTATCCTGATTTACACCGGATGCCTGACGTTCTGGCCGAATAAATATTCCGCTCAACTTATCCGACTTGAAATGCCGTGCTACTTAGGATAAACTCGTGTATAAGTGCAAGCAAACATGTTCAATCCAGTCGAAGAGAACGGTCTAGCGGAGGATGACTTGAGGCTGGAAGAGCTAGCAAAGCAGAGGCTTGGAAACGAATAAGGTCGTAATCGTTGTTGAAGGGACTGCAGCAGCGGCGGAGGGGAAATGGATATGATTGCCACTGAGGATGATGATGGCCGACACGTGGCAGGGCCGTTGAGAAAGTGGGAAGCTATGACACAGAAAGCTGATGACGACAACGCTAATGCATGTCAAACGAATG